TCTCCCTCCCCCGCTCCCCTCCCCTCCCACGCCCCCTGCTCCCTCTCCCCCGCGCTCCCACTCTCTTCCTTTTAGCTTTTGCAACTTACCCGTCAAAATGGCCGATCTGACATCTGTGCTTAACTCTGTTCTGTTTTCTTCTTCCAGCAAAATGTTTATCGGAGGCCTGAGCTGGCAAACCTCACCAGGTAAGGGGGCAGGGGGCTGGGGGGCTCCCGCCGCCCGCCCGCCGGCTGGATGGCTCTTTGTTAGCCCGCCGCGCTTGCCCCTCGCCATCGCGCTCCCCCCACGCTCACTTCTCCCGTGCAAGGTTACACATCTCCCTATCCCCCCCTTCCCCGGCAAATCCTTTGTCGAGTCCTCTATTCGACCTTAAATTGCGTGCGCGCCTTCGCCCCGCCGCCCCCCAGCCCCATCCAACTCCTCCAGCCGTCCCCGCCGCGGTCACTATTTTTGGGGTTTTTTCAAAAAAATAAATAAATTAAAAAAAAAAAAAAAGATGATGATGATGATTATTGTCCTTGTTTCTCTTCTCCCACCTCTCTCTTCCTTCGCCCGTCTCTTTTCCTCGCTCTCTCTCTTTCGTTCTTTCTCTACAGATAGCCTTAGAGACTATTTTAGCAAATTTGGAGAAATTAGAGAATGTATGGTCATGAGGGACCCCACCACAAAGCGTTCCAGGTAAATCCGCCGCTTGGTTTTGTTTTTTTTAATGAGTTTCCGAGTTGGAAAGTTAAGATGTGGTGATGTGCATCTGTGTGTTGCCTCTGCACACGCACACACACACACACACACACACAAAAGTCTCCAGAAATAAGCATGGGCTGAGTGGGAAGGGTGTCTTGTGTTTTTTTTTTTTTATGATTATTATTTCTAAACTCCTCAACGCTAAATAGCTGGAGACTATGAAATCGGACCGAACTCCGCTGGCTGTTTGGTTGGATTTCCGCCCTCCCCTTTGCCAGCCCGTGCAGACCGTGGCATTTTTGTATCTTCCTTTTTTCCCCCCCATTTTATTAATGATGGGGTGTCCCAAATAGAGCAGCCCCGTGTCTGTCTCCGCGGTGGTATTTTTCGAGTCCTTGTGGTTTCCTCTGGAAGGTGATCACATCCTCAGCCCTGTCTGATCCAGTATCAAACAAAGCCTGAATAGGGGGGTAGCAAGGTGAAGTGGGGTAGGACTGGAGAGACTGGGATTGTCTCCTCCCTCTTGAACCTGAGATCTGATTGATTTTTTTTTTGCCTTGGAGGAGGGGGCGGCACAGAAAGGAGAAGGAAGAAACTGCTGGTTTATCGATGTTTGGGTTTTGACAAATTTCTGTCTAGTTCTTATTTCTTTTTTTCTTTCCCCCCCACACCTTGTTCTTTTGTCTCGTTTCAGAGGCTTCGGTTTCGTTACGTTTGCTGACCCGGCAAGTGTAGATAAAGTATTAGCTCAGCCCCATCATGAACTAGATTCCAAGACGGTATGTTGAATGCGTTGTTGTTTTAATGTGTCCTTTATTTCCTGCAATGTTATGGCTGTGACAGGCTCATTTAAAGGGACAGTGCCCTTTTTGTTTGGTTTGCTGGAGCTGCAGAGATTTGGGGTGGTTTTTGGCTGGTTTTTCAAAGCAGCGTCAAACTGTCACCGAGCTGGAAGTTCATCCTGGTGATCCTTTCAGAGTTCGCTTTTGACTGGTAAAAGCTGGAACTTTTTTTTTTTTTTTGTTCTAACTTTTTCCTGCCTCCAATGACGAAGGAGATCTGGTGGCTTGTCCTCCAGCCCCAAATTATAAATCACCCAACGGTGAAATTAGCCATTATTTTTAAAGGTTAAAACTAACTTTCTTTTGTGAGTACAAGAGAAGCTGCTTCTGGGGGGGGAAAAACTTCTATTTTTGAATGTCTGAAGGTTGGATCTGGGATCACACGTGTTCCTGAAGAGTCTGACCTCCCCAAAATCATTTTTTGGGGGGGGTTTGAGAGGGGGGGGGATCCCCCAATCTGTCACACAGGGGTGTTGTGAGACTTAGGGATTTAATACATGAAAAGCACTTTAAGGGGAAAGGTGCAATGGAAATGCAAGCCATGGACTGTTTGTCATTTCTGCAAAGCTTTCCAGTGTAATCAGTCCCCAGTGGATCATATGGGAAAATGCTCAGGAGATTCGGCCTATTTTTTTAAAATATATATATTTTTTTCCTTTTAAAAGAAAAAAGACAAGAAATATGCAAGTAAAAGCCCTAAACCTCACATTGCATTTTTGGCACGGGGTCCAGCAGTAGATAGCAAGATGCATATGTAGATAGGCCTTAGGGTTCATCTTGCTAACCAGTGCTTTGCCAAAAGTGAAGTTTGTGCATTGCTACTTTGTTTCAGTGATGAGCCTCAGCAAACCTAGCACACAAAAAGGACACTGGTAAAGGTCACGATTGCTCTTGGTACAGGGCTGTCTGAAGAGAGGAGTTTTGGGAAGGGAGGACTCGCACTGGTTTAACTAGTTGCTAAAAGTGTCAAGGGTTTTTTATTTTTTGTTGTGTGCAACTGTATTTCATGGCTCATGTTCTGGATCTTAATTTGCTTCCTATTGAATTTTAACACAAGCACGCTGGTTGGAGGGGATGGTGGCTTAATGCTGCTAAAATTTGTGCGGGGGGGGGATGAAGGCAGCGAACGAAAAAGAAGGCAAGAGCCAGGCACGCCACGCACATATATTTTTTTTATTTGATCGAACTTGCTTTCAAACCACCCAGAGGAAAACAAAACCCTTTGCAGAAGCAGGTGGACCGTAGTGTTTTAATTCGCCCCACAAATTCTGCTGGGCTTGTCTGAACACGTCGCCCGTGCCTTCACATTCCTTAATAATTTGATTTGGGGTTTAATCAGATATGGCAAGATAACTGATTCAACTGTGCTCCTGAGATTAAACTCTCGCCAGACTCCTGCTGTACAGCTATATTGTATTTATTTGATTTATTTATTTCTGTATTTTAGACACGATAAGTTTAGCTAGAAGAGGCCAACATTTTGTGAATGAGCTTTAAATGCAAAGCAAACCCTAGAAGGCCCCTCCAAATGGTTTTTGGCTGCATCTTAAGACCTCCCCTGCCTTGACCCCGCATCGCAGTCGAGTCACTGGAATGTATTAATTTGCTCTCGGGCAGGGGAGGGGCAAAGAAATGGACCAAGACAAATTTTCCATCAGTCTCGATTATGCTGTAGTGATTGAATCCACTTAGAGAAAGCAAGAGAGACAATTGCACCGAAAGCCAACAGACTCCATCCCAAAGTAAATCCCCCCAAGTTCTCACTCCTCCCTTTATTTGTAGACATATTATAGTAACTGTTCTGTAGCATAACATAGCATTTGACTCTGTTTCAACGTTCAGTACAGGAGGCCGATCGGTTGGGTATTGGCATGGAAACGGCGCTCTTGTTTACAGTTACGTTAAAAGCTTTGTTTAGGTAATGGCCATTCATATCAGAAATAGTATTATAGTCATTTCCTAGAGGACTTGTAGATACAGTAAGTAGAATTGTACCTAACTAACTAATTTTTATTTATTTTTTTTAATTTTATTTATTTATTTTTTGGTAGAAGTTTTATTTTATTTATTTATTTTTTGGCTGGTATTTCAATAGTTGACAGGGATGTGCAAAAGGTACGGATTTGCCACGCTGAATGTATGACTCCACTTTCAAAGGGCTTTAGCCCAAAGTTTTGCCCTCTGGATAATTATTTGCAATGAGTGGTGTAAAGAAGCCTGTGCTTTGAGAACTGGCCTTCAGAAATGGATATTCAGCATCTGATGGCTGTTCTGATTTTTGTATTTATTTTGATTTTTTTTTTTTTTTTTTTTTTTTGCACTGATGTCTTTCTGGCATGATTGGAGCTGTGCTGGGGGGTTGGCTTTTTTGGGGGGTGGGGTGGATATTCTGATTTTTAAGGCAAAAAATATGTCACTTTGAGAGCTGATGTAACATCATGCATACTTTCTTCTATCTTTGGGTATCTCAATGGAAAATCCACACCTGTTGTATTTCCCTGGTAGACAAGTACCTAGTCAGTGCTGAATATATTTGTAGATAATGTTAATCTCTCTGAAAAAGGTTAGCTTTCTAGATAAAGGGTTTGACTTTTGGTGCTTTTTGAACAATAAAGTGGCACATAATCACTCATTTCTCAGGTATACGTGTAAAAAAACAAACAATCCCAAACAACCAGACAGTACATTTGTATGTAATATAGGCAGATTAATTTATCAGCTGAGTATCAAATGATTGTCCCATTTACAACTTGGCATTCATTGATTAAAACCTGTAGTTAAATGGAGTAGCATAGGGCTTATCTGTCACGGACATCCCGCCAACCATGTCTCTACCAAGTGGAACATCTCTGTTCCTACGTAGTATGAAAAAACGATCCATAACAAAATCTTAAAATAATATTCCACTAAAAAAGGCCTTTATCTCCAAGTATGCCTTAGCAAAAGTATGATCAAAGTTTGATGCAAAGAAAAGAAGACACTGAAAGCTGTAGAGCGTGGTTCAGCGAGATGCAGGGTTTGCTACTTCAAGCTATCCCTTTTCCAAACTTTTTATTTAGATGCCTGCGTGCAAAAGAACAGTGGGAAATCAGCAGCATACAGACATATTATTATGTAAAGGGGCCATTTAAGAGGCATTAGTGTTAAATCGATGATTTTGTTTGCATCAGAACATGAATCCCTGGTGATGCCTCCCTCTCTCCTTCCCTCCATTCACCTTGGATGGCAGGAAACAGTCACCATCTGAGGATGGCTCATTGAAAAGTTGTTTCAAAATTGCAAACCTGGCTTGTTGAATCAAGGGGGGGACACCCTTTGCAACTCGCCAACCGAAATGCAGAATAAAGGGGTCTAAAAATAAGGCGGCATGGGATGAACCCAGGGTGTTTTCTTGCTTGCTGTCTCAGTGGCATTGAGGTCTCCCTTAAGATCACTTAACTCCTTTATAGCAACCCTGAACACGTCTTTTCAAGATGTGGATTTAGAAGTAGGGTTGGTTTGTTGTTTTTGTTTTGAATTTTTTAATTTGACGTGTCCCTTCACAGTGGTTTTTTCTTTTGAGTGTCCACCTGCGTTCTGTAACGCAGATCAATCAGGAATGCAATTAGAAAAAATAATCTTGCAGTCATTTGAACACGCTAGTCTTAATCATTCGCTTTAAAGTAAATCATTTGGCTTGCAATGTCTTGTATCTCTTTTTCTGGGGGAGAGTAAGTGTGTATGGGGGAAACATTAACCAACCCCTCTCTCCCCCCCGAACCTGAAGGACATTTGCTTTTTATTTCGAAAGAAATATTCTTTCCAACTCTCTATCTACAAACCACCTACAGACTATGCAAGTAGCATTCGGTGTTTGGTGGAGAGGCAACGGCCCAAAGAGCAGCACAGAGCCCCTCGTGTGCCAAAGGAGTTGCAGGCTAGAATATCCCGTATATGGTTGACAGAAGGGATCAGTTTTCTTCCCTTTCCTCCCCCATCCCAAAATAAAAAAAAAAAAAAAAAGGACTTTTATTCTTATCAGCTCCTGATTTGATCTTGATGACCCAGCCTTCTGAATGCTAAGCCTGAGAAATGAGAGATTAATAATTCAGGGGTTTAAAAACAAAAATACCAAGCTAGCGTGTTGATTTTCCCCTTTTCTTTTTCCTCAGATTGACCCTAAAGTTGCATTTCCCCGACGAGCACAGCCTAAGGTAAGTAGGAGGATCAATAATAGGATTTTAGGCACACAGAGAGTCATTGTTGCCAGGCAGTTCAGGTTTCAAACAGGGAATTGGCAATGAAAGCTTTTAAAGCTGGAGCGCATGGCGTCTTAAGGGTATCAGCATATGGCTGTGAAACTACAGGAGAGCTGCTTTGTGCGATATTGCATGTCTCTAGTTTAACCATCTCCTTGCAGAGTCCCAGCCATCATGTCTGGCTGAGGGAGCCTGAGGTTTTCCTGGTCCGACCAGGAGAGTGTCGCTCCATGGCTTGGAGCTGGTGCCAGATGTTGCTCCAGGTATCGGTGCAGGGGTTCGGAGGAGCGCTCGGCGTAAGGGCAGACTCTGGGCTGGTTGGTAGCTGAGCTGTCGGGTGTTTGGCTGCGATGGACGGGAGTAAATCCCTGCCCTTCGTTCTCTGCAAACTTTTCTGCACTGCGTTTGGCCGCTCACAAGCCGTGGGTAGCGAGTGCCCGGTTGGCCCGACGCTCTGAGCTGTCCCGAGCGCTCTGTTAAGTCTCTGCGAAAACGGGGAAACAAAGAGCCTTAAGTCTCTTATCCTTCCAGTCTGATTGGATAAGTGACCTGCCTTCTTGCAGGGCACTTTTTGTTATAATGCGGTTGGTTTCCACGTTGGGACAAAGGCACTTGAGCCATGTGCGGAGCAGCTTTTGTCTGCACGCTCTCTCCGCAGTGTCACTTGGTGCTGTGGAGTTGAACCGGCAGCCGTGTGTAGCCAAAGCAACGGATCAGTTTTCCCGTCCAAATGTGCAGTCAGTTAACTTGATTTTTTTGAAGTCTGAAAGAGATTTTCTCCAATTGACTTTCCTCTCTCTTTCTATTTGTCTTGAGACTCCACTGA